AATAATATACGTCTAATTTATGGATCATGGCTGTTCGGAATATCGGAATAACCCTGTACCGCCAAGTCCAGTGACAACCCTGTGGGGGATTCAGAGAGCTACGGTAACGGTCGCTGTCAGAAATGACAGACGTCAGGTTTGGTTCAACGGAACTGTGAACTCACAGTTCCGTTGAACCAAACCTTAGATAGGTCGGAGTATGAACGAGAAAAAAAAGAGGAAAAGAAGATACAATTCCAAACCATTTAAAAAACGTTTTACAGCTAAATTATTTTAATTGCCTAAATTTGTTAATATACCTATCGTTTAATTAAATTGTAGTTATTTGTAGTGAACTAGCTACCAACAATCAATACGAAACTAACGATTTTAAATTGGCTCACTACTTGACTTGCCTATTGGTCCCAAGCAAATCGATTAACGTACCTCATTCTAGTCAAAATTATAGTACTACACAATGTTTGTTTTGATTCGCTATGAAAGTTTGACAGGTAAAATGAGGGGTTCGTGGATTTTCTCGTGTTTTATAGGGGTGCATCGATAAGCTTGGGACCGAAGATAGTACCAGAGCTTAGCCAAAAAGTTGAGCACATTTCTTAGGGACCTTCTGGTCTTAAAGTTACCTTTATGTAGCTACTGAAGTAGGTTAGTTGGAGGTGGAATGCGTGCAAATATTGAATTTAATAACCCTATATTTGCTTAATCTAGATACTACAGTTTGATCCTAAAATCTGGTAACCTACAATTTGTTCCTAAACGCTATATACATGATTTACCCTAAGTAACTAGTAAGTAGCTCATTCTACATCGTTTGCGTGCTTAACTAAAATAATAATTGAATCCCTAAATGCTAAATCTAGCCAAATCTTTGTTGAAAGAGTGACGGAAGATAACTCTCGGTTTGAAAATCTCCCGCTCAGCCTCCTATCGCTTTTCATGGAGGAATCGAGGAATTTCTCTTCCTCCAGCGCTTTCTTATTTGCGCTTTTCTCCTGCAGCAACTGGTCTAGGGATTCTTCCAGGCTGACCACATTGGTACTTCCTTTTCCAGATTCGGTTGCGGCATCACTCCTCACTCTATTATTTCTGCTAGGTTGTTTATTTGAGACAGACTTCTTGGTTCCTTTTGCCACCTTATAAGCATTAAGATTGGTTTTGATTTTATATTAGTTTAATAAAACCTATTTCAGCTTCAAACTGTCCAAAACGAGACTGCTCTGAGGAAGTTGCTTTCATTAATACGAACATGGCTATATTTTTAAGTGCGCAAACATGATTTTCTATGGATCACTTTCTTTAGTTTAAAGTTCACTGCTGAATGTATTATGGATGAATTGCAATATGTTTATGGGTAATTCGTGCAATTTCAATGCTCATTCCTTAGAAATTTAGCGGTACATTTTTACAATTCAAGAGCCACATGTGAAAAGGGCATACAAGCCTTTTGTAAACAAACCTTTGTAGGCCCTTTTCTCGCCAACCGACGGTCGCCCACGCAAACCAACAACATCATCGGGAAGGGGAAAGATTCCTCTATCCGCTAATGTTAATGGTTTGTGTTGGTGTCATATGGGTGGCGAGAAAAGGGCATAAGAAGGTTTGTTTACAAAAAGCTTGTATGCCCTTTTCACATGTTGTTCTTGAATTGTGTTGCTAAATTTTACATTAAATATGGATCATATTGATATTTTTTATGGATCATTCACACTTTTTTAAGGATTTTCTCCGAAGTTTTATGGAACATTTGGATGTTTTTTATGGAACGTTTTCCAATATTTTATGGATCATTTATTGGTTTTTATGTTCAAAAGTATGTTTGCCGAAAACCGCCGAGTGATCCAGCATCGTATAAATAGGCCTATATGCTTGCTGGATACAGTCGGAAAGCTATTGGAGAAGATCATCCTCAACAGGCTAACGAAATGCACGGAGAGTGAGCACGGATTGTCGGTGAGGCAGTTCGGATTCCGGAAAGGGAGATCATCGGTGGATGCAATTCAGACAGTGGTCGAGAGTGCCGAGAAAACGTCCAAACAGAAATGGAGAGGAGATCGATATTGCGCCGTGATAAAGATCGACGTGAAGAACGCATTCAACAGCGCCAGCGGGGAGGCCATCGCCGAAGCGCTGCATAAAATGAGGGTTCCTGATTACCTGTGCAGCATTATAAGGAGTTACTTCCAGAACCGGGTTCTAGTCTACGAGGCGGACATGGGAGAGAAATCAATCCGGATCACGGCGGGTGTGCCACAAGGCTCCATCCTTGGCCCAACACTCTGGAACGCGATGTACAACGGCGTGCTAACGATGAAGCTGCCCAAAGGAGTCGAGATCGTAGGATTTGCGGACGAAGTCGTGTTGGCGGTAGTAGGCGTGATGTTGGAAGAGGTGGAAATGCTGGCAACCGAGGCGATCGACACGGTTTCCAACTGGATGCAAGGAGCGAAGCTGCAGATAGCCCACCACAAAACGGAAGTGCTATTAGTCAGTAACTGTAAAG